GGGCTCGAACCCGGCCAGGCCAGCTCCAGCAGCCGCCCTGCTTCCAGAGGACACCAGCGTGCACGCGCGCACCGCGCCCCAGCCCCGCGGCCCCGTTCTCCGGGACCCCACGCGCCCTGCCCGCGCGCTCGCGGCTCCCCACTGCCCCGCGCCCCGGGGACGCTCCCCGGGAGCACACGCGCCCCGATCCATAGCCGTGCCCATCCCCGGGGTGGGTGGGGGAAACGCCGCACCCAGTTCCTTGCAGCAGCACCCCGGGGACCCCCTGATCCGGGGGGACACGCCGCGCCCCGCACTCCGAGTCCTCCCGGGGACTCTCCGAGCCGGAGGACACGCCGCGCCCCGCACCCCGGGCTCTCCCGGGGACCCCCAGAGCCGGGGGGACACGCTGCGATCCGCACCCCGGGTCCTCCCGGGGACCCCCGAGCCGGCGGATCCGGAGCCTCCGGGCGGGGAAGGGCGCGGCGCGCGGCCGGGGTCGGGGGCTCGCGGCCCGGGGGTCGCACTCACATTCGGTCGGGGGCCAGCAGGCGGCCCTCCACCATCATGTCCGGGAGGAAATCCAGCTTGAAGGCAGAAGTCATGGTCTGCGCGCGGCGCGGGGGGCGGCGGAGACGGGCAGGGACAGGTGCGCGCGGCCTCCCCGCGGCGGCCGCCCGAGCCGGCACTTGTCACATCGTCGCCCCGCCCGCGCTCCGCCAATCCCCGCCGCCTGCCCGCGCCGCGGCGCCCCGAGCCCAGCGCCAGGTGCGGGCAGCGGGGGCGGAGCCGGGCCCGGCGCAGCCTTAACCCCTGCGCGCCCGCCGGGACCCCCGGGTCCCACCGCCCCCGTACCCCCCAGGCACGCTGGGGTGCGCGGGCGGCTCCACGCCCTGCTCCAGGGTGCCGGGCGCAGGGGGGCGGCCGGAGGATTAAATTGGGTTTTTTTGGCACCTCCAGCGGAATTCACTTCCCCAGCAGCCCCCAAATAGCAGCCGCGAGGGTGCGTCTCTGCGCCCCGGGGTGCAGGAGAAGCCTGTGCCGAGGGCTGCAGAGCGGGAGAGGCGCTCCTGATTTCCCAAACTGGGGATGGGAGTCAGGACTGGGTCTTCTTGAGGCTTGGAGGAGAAAGACCACTCAGTCTTCTTACTATTACATTTCCTTTGGCCTCATTTTGAAAAGGACGGGGAATGGACTGAAAAATTCAGCACTAACTCACTTATTATTATATATGTATATATGTACTGTATGCATACATGTGTGCATGCACAGACACACACACATACATACACACACACACACACACACACACACACACACACACACACTCTCTCTCTCAGAAGACAGATTTGTGATGTAACACCACCCAGCACAGTAACTGCACGCCTGAGGGTTAGGCTGACAATGGAAGGGTATGGGCGGCTACACCCATGTCAGATTCATAAGCGATTTGCTAACAGGAATTGAGTAAATTGGCAACACTCCTGCCAATGAATAGGAGCAGATGAATGTAATTTTCCCCAAGTGATTTGTGAAAATTCTTGAAAGATAAGAAGTTTGCACGATGCCATTCTAATTGAGCGTCCTCATTCTTGTTTCCATCCGTTATTTGGGTGAAGCCCAACTTCTCCCAGAGCCACAAAATCTGTGACATTTCTCCATGGTCTTTTTCTCACATTCTACACCAAAGCCAACGGTCGCAGGCTGCTGGTTGCTTACAGATTGCCCTCCCCCCTCCCCCCCCCCCCCCACACTTATTCCAGGAATCATCACTCTATTTTGTAAAGATGCAACATGCCCTGATCATCACGGCAAACAGAGGGTTAAGCAAGTCACATGCAGCTGAATGTGTCCAAAACCTCCAGGGCTAGAGAAAAAATGTGGCTCGCATCTTTCTTGTCTGATAATGAGACCTGATCATCCTTCGAGGCTATGAAGATCGACTTTGTATGCCAACTCAAAGTCCGCACAATCCTTTTATTTATTTTGGTGGTGCCAGGGATGGAACCCAGGGGCTCACACCCCAGAGGGATGTCCTCTAAGGCTGGGCCACTTCCTGACCCCCACTCAGCTATTTTAAATCCAGACTTGCTCTGATGAGCAGTAGAGCCCAGTGGCCTGGGATACTAAATTAACCCCCTACATACTTAATAGTCTTGATTTCCTTCTTCAGCTGTAGATCAAGATTACTCTAATTTCAAGACAGAGGTAGCTACACTAACCTTTTTTTTTTCCTTAAGATACTGCCTTTGCTGAGCGGCCAGGTGTAGATTTAACAGGAACTGAACAGCTAAAGCCATAAAACCAACTCTGAAATCCAAAATGCCTGCATTTTTCCTGATAATAAAGCCACGTTTACGTCTCCCCTCCCCGGCTTACTACCAGCACCGCCTCTGAAATTACAAGAATTTTTTGTTGGCTTCTTAATAACCCTAATAAAGTAATTAGCTGGATAAGAGAAGACAAACCTGGACAATTCTTGGTTTCCCATCTATTATTGACATAAATCCCAAATGTACATAATGAGCTGATTATTTTAAGAGAGTAGGTCTCCAAAACAGAAGGGGGAAAAAAAACCCGCATTCATCAAAAGGAAAAAAAAATAACTTCCCCTTCTATATGTCGACATTTTTTTTGAGGCGGAAAATGCTTCATTAACATGTCCACTTCTGAAATATTTATTTCCTGTTTAATTGCATGTGAATTAGGAGGCAGAGAGGAGGGAAGCCCTCTTACGACTTAAGCCTTCTCAGCAGTTTGTTAAATTCTAGCCTCAAATCCCTTGAGGCAATAGTGGATTCAAAGCAGCTTTTAATCATACCATAAGGAGGGTGAAGTACTCTGTAAGTAGGTCATAGAGAAAGAATTACAAGTGCATAGGTTATTGCCTTATTTAACAACTACCCTGTAACCGAGTTTTCAGAGCCCATTTTGATGGTGCCATTCAAAGTGAGAAGTAAAACCCGGGTCAAGAAAACTCCTTCTTGCCTGGCTTCCGGTGAGGACAGACACCCGGGGAAGCTGAGGGGGGACCAAGAGAGACTCGTTTGCTGCCAGTTTCATAAATAATCCAGCAGCTGCATAGGCGCTTACGGGGGCTGGAGAGCAACGTGTGCGCGCACACGTATGCACGACACATGTGCATGCACACATGACCCCAGGGTTTGGGCCCGTGATCTCACAGACCCACGCACAACAATAGTCCTGGTGAAAAACACAAATTGCAAAATTCAAAACAAAAGCCACCCCCCCCCCAAGCCCCACCGCGAAAAAGCTTCCATTTCCCAGGTGGCCGCTTGGGTGGTGGACAGCGGGACAGAGAGGGCACCTCCCAACAACTCCACAGGCCCCCTCTGGTGGGTCCCTACAGCTGGACCCCTCAGCTGGTGTGTTTGGGCAGTTGGAATACTTGGCAGGCAGCTCTGCTGGCCCTGCTGAGCACGAGGGTCACTGAGGCCCTGCAGAGGCCACGGTCTTGGCAGCCACAGGGAAGGGGCGGGGCCACGGGCCAGCACATGCTGGTGACCATGACCTGGGGGTGGGGTGAGTGCTGGCATCGCCAGGAATGAGGTCCAGGGCACCGTGACAACCCATCCCAAAGCCACGTCACGGGTGGAAAAGCCTTCAGCTTTCTGCTAGGCCCATCCCCCTACTACCTCTCTCTCTCTCTCTCTCTCTCTCTCTCTCTCTCTCTCTCTCTCTCTCTTAATCAACTTGCTATTCATTTCCCAAACAAAAGGCAATTCAAGAATTGGAGGCACTTCAAGCGAAAGTTTCTGAATGACCTCATTTTTATAGGAGGCTGCAAGGCCAGCCGAGGGGCGCTTCAGCCACCCTGCCTCCCTGCAAACCCAGTTCCGTCCTGTCCTGGATGGTCATTGTTGTCACCCACCAGAGAGAGAAGGAGAGCCACACCAGGGCTCCCTGCAGTTACCGAGTGCTGACAAATGCCTTTATGCTCAGTGGCAGCCACCGCATGGGACGAGCTCTGCTGTGCTCGCTCCCCCCCCCCCCCCCACGCCCGCAACCACTCAGAACAGAGATCACAGCTCTTAGCATCCAGCACCAAAATCACACCCTGACACAGGGACCTGGTGTTTCCCTGGGAAGAACACCCCCCACGAGACTATTTCATGGCACAATTCCCTGTACTGACAACCACTCCGAATGCCATGCATGACCATATCCACGCAGGCCGTGGGTCCCCCGACTATGTCAGGGCCCAGCCAAACAGTCCAGCACTGTGTTATGGGTACAAAAAGCCCCCTTCACAAAAGCCCCCAACTCCCCACCTCCACACACCCCCCTCATCTCTGGCTCACCAATTGTAACAAGAATCTGAAACATCGTTACCCCATCACATCTTCAAATTCCAATTTTATCAACATAGCTTTGTTTGTTTGTTTGTTTTTTAAAGAGAAAAAAAGACCAATGTGTTCAGGGCTGTCTGGAGTCAGGAATACAGCCCTAGAAGGGAAGATTTCCCATCATTTTCGGCCAATAAATTTGAAATCCGCATGCATTTTAAGTACCAGTGAGACTATCTGACTTTGTAACCATGTGTTTGTCATTGGCTTACTCCTGTTTCATTAGCAACTTGCAAAAATAAACAGCGGTGCTTTTCTTTTTTTTTTTTTTATCTGGATTAAAAAAAAAAAACTTGAACAGACCCTTAAGTAAACTCTCTCCGTACCATAAAGATAGCGCTTACAAAATATTTCTACACCCTTCTTGTCACGCCTCTCCCCATGAGGAAAGTTCCTGGGCTGGAGACTTCAAGCTCATCCCGTGAACAATTCAAGTACAATTAAATGCTGGGTAGGCTATGAAATGGTTATTAAACTCTTATTTTACATTTCGAAGGGGGGTTTCAGAACAGCTGCTGCTGGCATTTTGCAATCTTGTGTTTTTCAGAATCTGTTTTTAATAGGGGGAAAAATATCAATGACAAATCATGGGGGCCGATCTCTCTTGCTGCTGACGAAGCCGGCCACACCCTCGGCCGTGCTGGGTGTACGTACCTGCGTGCTCGGAAGTGAGCTGCCCCTCTCGAGTTTCCAGATGCTTCCATGCCCAAGGACGGGAAGGTCAGCAAAGAGGCTCTCTCGGACCCGGGGACCAGCCAGCTGACCCCTTCCTGATCTAAGTTGCCTTTTCCCTTCTCTCCTCGCTCCATCATCGCCCTGCCGCCGCCTCCTGGCCCTCTCAGCTTCTCTGGCCCCTCGGCTCTGCCCAGGGGAGGCCCCCAGCTGTCCCCCAACCCAGCTGCCTGCCGAGGGGGCAGCTGACCACACATTTTTAAGGCGCTGTGGTTGGTGGCTTCTTGGCGGAAGGAATCAGTTGGACTTGCCTCCACCCGGGCTGGTCCCTGAACTAGGAACAGCTGTGGGGGTGATGGGCCCCGGATTCCTTCCCAGTGTTGCCGGGCTGGAGGGGCTGGCAGGAGGGAGGAGCCTGTCCCCGGAGGCCAGCGAACAGCAGGTGGTGGCTGGGAGAGGAAATGGGGGCATGACTGGGGAGCCAGGGGCTGTCCTGTCTGGCAGGGGATTTGCACAGAGCACGGGAACAAAAGCTCTCCAGGAATGTTCCAGTGGGTCATGAAGACGCCAGTGTTTGTCAAACTCTCCCAGGTCTTCGGTGCTGGTACCAGCCTGGCGGAGGGGCCCTGGTGTGCTGGCATGATTACCCCGTGCCAAGGGGTTTGGGTGCCCCGGTCATGGGCTGGAATATCCCCCTCCCCAGTGCTTCCTGCCCTGGGCCCCTCGCTCGCCTTTCCCTGCATCACATGATGCTCAATTAAAAGGGGCGAAAGCAGCGTTTGATGGAGCCCAACAGCTGAGCAGCAGCAGCTGTGGGGTCCCCCTCCCCAAGGCGGGCGTGCGGAGACCCAGAGGAGCAGGTGGGGGCAGTGAGCGGGCATGCTGGAAGCCTCGGGGTGGGCTCATGTGAAGCAGCGCTTGGCAAGGACCAAGATCTCTGCTGGACAGCCCATCTCTGCACCCCCAACCCCCGTGGGTTTGCCTCTTTCCCCCCTTATCATTATTATTATTATTGAACACATTCCCCTGGAAGTAGAGTGAGGATTAGGAGACAAAAGGCTTAGGTTTCCCTGCACCGAACACTGGAACCCGCTTCGCTCCAGCAAGAATCTGCTGCCCCCCAAAGAGCAGCAGTGGGTGGGTGGATGGGAGGGGGCAGGACACAGGGAGCTGGACCTGGCTCAGGCGTGGCCATCAACGGGTGCCGGAAAGCGTGGCCGGAAGCGTGGAGTCTTCAGCTCCGAAGTACGGTGTGTTAACCTAATTATTGCCACAGCAATTATATAATCAAGCTATTCAAGTGACATGTAGGCTGGAAATACATTAAGGTTTTGCGCACAGGGAAATTTATTTTTTCCCTATAATATGGTCCAAATCTCCAGCCATTTTTAGCTTAGGATGGAGGCTTCTGAAAATCCCAAATGACTAAATTTGCTTTTGATGCTAACTCCCAAGGAAATCCATTAGAGGGGGAAAAATGACCCCTTTTCCCCCCTTATTTTGGGGCTCAGCGGTAAGTATGAGGACGACTTAGCCCTCCTCACAGACAAGTGGCAGGATGGGCAGCAACAAAGACGGGGACAACTTTGTGGTCTAAGAAGGAAGGGGACTCAGGGAAGGGGCTGGTGTGGCTTTGTTGGAATAACAAAGGTAAGTTAGCAGTCGCTTCACCCGGCCTCACCCTTCCTGGAGGGTTTGCTCTGCTGCCCCTTCTCTGTGCCACTCTGCTTGCTCCCTGTCACCCCACACCAGGGCACTGGGGCCACCCCGGCAGGGCTTCCAGTTTGGGTCCTTCAGCCAGGAGCTGCCTCTGCTCCCAGCTCCCACGGTCTACTCTCCAAATGCACGCTTTCCACTTGGGGGCGCTTGCTTCGGATTCTGCTCTCTTCCAGCTCTGTTCCCATTGTGCAGGCCCAAGCCCACCCTTTCCTGAGCAAGGACACCCCCCAAAGGCCAGGATCCCCTTGCCTGCGTGCTCCTCTGGTCACACCCAGAAGGCCCAATAAATCAAAGGGGTGGAAGGTGGCCTGGAGGGTGAGGGCGGCTCTCCAGGTGTCTGGGAGGAAGCTGGGATGGAGCCTGAGTGTGAATCTCCCCTGCGAGTACCCACTCCTCTCTGGGACCCTCACTTCTCTGGAATTCCGTTTTGCTGTCTTTGAAATGGGGTCAAGGAACACCACGGCCTCGTCGGCGGTGGTGGCCAGGAGAGGATCCTGGGACAGAGGTAGCACTGGCTGTGGAGTGGATTGTTGGTGGCTTTGGCTTATTAGCCAGTTATTGACAGATGACAGGTTTGGGGGCTCCAGTGATGGCTGGGAGGGGCAAGGGTGCGTGCCCATGGATCCGAGTTTGATCTGAGGACCCCAGAACAATACTGAGTGATGTTGCCAAGCATTGATCTGTCAGCCCTGCTGGTCAAGTATCATGGAGGACCTCCAGAACGCTGCTTGGGAGGGACTCTCCCCCCGAAATACAACTTTCTTACTTCCCTCTAATCTTAGACTCCTGCCAGCAGCCCTGCTCGCTCATTCAGAATTGAAACAGGGGTGCAGACAGTGAGCCCGTGACGCCCATAACGGCTCGTGAGAGCAGGCATGGAGCCCCGGAGAGTCTGGGGCCGAGAAGGACTCCATCCCTTCTGAGCGAGTCACCCCCAGACAGAAGCCACAGTGCTCCTCACTGCTGCCACCAGGCACGTGTCAGGGGGTTCAGGGGATGATTCCTGAAGACAGCTCGGAATAACAGGTACGCCATTTCATCAGGCTCCAAAGAGGGTGGCGCTTCCTGGACCACCAAGTTACTCCAAAAGTGAGGCAGGGGCCGGGAGACAATCCAAGAGGCGGGACCAACTGCCTTTGATGTCTGAGGTCCCAAGTTTGATTCCGGATTCTACTGGAGGGGAACTTGGTGGTCCCCAGAATCTTGGGCCATCCCGAATCACCGGGTGTGGACCCTTGGACTCCTACTTTTTCCAAACTGAGCAAGGCATGATCAGGGCAATGGCTTGGCACCCCTGCCCCTCTCCCGCTTCCATTCCCAGCTCCTGCGACTTTGAGATGAAGGGTGGGGGGGGGGGGTGGTATATCTAAGTCATTTCTGCACCATTTCTGTGAAAGAGCCCCTTTCGGTGGGCACCGGCCAGCTAGGGCCAGCATCTTCCCCACCCGCCTTCCCATGGCAAGTGCTCGCCCACTGCAGCTTTGCCCTTGCTCGAGACAGGGAATGCGATAACTGTGCAAGTGCCTTCCTGGAGGAGGCGGCCCAGCAGGATTTCCAGATGTCCAGCTCTTCCCGGCCAGGGCACCTGACTTTGCTGGACATTTCTGGCTTTTATTTTTCTAGGAGGCCTGTGGACAAATCCTGCTTCATAAACCCCAGTGAGTCATCACCCTACTAAAGCTGCCGGAGGCCGCTCTGAGCTGCTGCCCTGAGCTCTGGTGGGTCTGACAAGAAAATGGGCTGCAGTGAGTGGCACAGACAGACGAGGCTCGTTCTCGTCCTGCCCACCATGATGCCTCCGGGGGCGAAGGAAGCAGAGAGCGAGGACTGTGTCTCTGTGAACCCCGTGAGCTGCTGCCAGGTGAGGGCTAACTAACCAGCACACCTCTGATGGTGGGGTGGCGGCACACGCGTGCACACACACGTGCGCAGGCACACACACGTGCACACAAGCAACACGCACATGCAACATACACGTGCAAACACAGACACACGTGCACACATGCACATATACATAAACACATGCATGCACCTTCATGCACACCTGCACACATGTGCCCACACGCACTCATGTACACACATGCACACACACATGCATGTGCACGCGCACACACACACACACACACACACACATTCCTCCAGCTCTATCCCATCCCTGAGGTCCCACCCATGTGGCGGGAAGGCAGTCTGATTCCAGAACTCTGACCTCCAATTCTCCACAGGCCACGACCATCCAGTACCCCTGGCAGCCTGGCCACCACCCTCTTGCCCAGCAGCCAGCTGAGAAGCCATCTGCACCTACCCCGCAGTCCCCCGCTGCAGCTAGTGAGTGAAACAGAAGGCAGAGGGAATCCAGAAAAACTCCCCGAGCTTTTCTGGAACATAATCACCGGAACAATCAATAGTTTGCAGAAAAGGGGAACCCACCTGCTTCCAACCACCAAGCCACCCTGCCCTGCTCAAGCCCCCAGGAGAAAGTCCAAACGCTGAAAGGCTGAGGGGAGGGGGGTCAACACTGATAGGAGAGTCACCAGGGGCCCGGGTGCTACTCATGAGGCTGCCACAGGGCTGCATGTGAGAATAAGTCTGAGGTCTTTGGATGCCCCACACTTCCACACCAGTGTGGGCACACGCGTCTGGGGGCCCACCCATGGATACGCCTCAAATGCCCAGCGCCCCTCCCTCCATCTCACCTGCTTTTCAGCCACCGAGGTGGTTCCAGGGCTGCGAGCAATGAACTTTCCTGCAGCCACATTCTCACCTAATTAACCCCCCTGATTACAATAATTAGTATCGATTCGCTCTCGGAATGACTTCCTAGATATCCAGGCACAAGCTGCATTTGCTCCAACGTTCTCTATGATTGTCAGTCTGGGGCTCTTGACTTTTGTCTGTTTAGCTCCAAGGGCAATAGTGGCGAGTGAGAGATTGGTATTTCACCAAAGAGAAACGGGTGAGGTTTCCACCGAACAGATGCAAGGGAAAGGGAGGCAGGGAAGGGTCACAGATGCGCCTGTGGTTAGCCAAACACATCTTCATGTGTGCCCCAAGGGCTCCTGGGTGAGGGGACTTGGGGTGCAAGGCTTGGTCTCCATCAGAAAAGGTCGAACCTCTTTTGCAAGTCTGCCCTGTGAAGGATAATTCACTTAAGACTTTGGTTTGGGTCACTGGGGGAATTGGCGTCCATTGAGACTTCTAGCGGGGCATCATTCTGTGCCTTAGTCCTGTCCTAGACGCAGAGCAAGGCCAGTTTGCTACCCCCCTTCCTTCAGACCACCTCACCCCTTCCCACCAGGCTGAAGTAGAAGGGAGGAGTAGGGCACAGTGTGGGGGAGGTTCCTGAATCCGAGAACTGGGCAATGGAGGAGAACCCAGAAAAAAACATTCCCGGCGAGGGAGAAGGATGTCCCTGGTTCC